GTGGTCATTTCCAGGGCACACTCCCATTTTTCTCTTTCCTCATTACAAGTCAGTCTAGAAGACCGTGGGCAGTGCTCCTGTGTGGTACGTATGTTGGTTCTTCCACCTGCTTATTTGCAGACAGTATGACCACTCTATTAGTTCATACTAAATACTATACTTTTCTGGTGGCTTTCTTCCTCTTGATTGTACTGTCACTACTTTTCTTATAAGCCTCTAATACATTGAAGTCTAAGGAAGCAGAATTTTATCCTTCTCTGAGCCAATTTGCCTTGAGCAAGTCCATATAGTGAGTTGGTAGCAAAATGGGGAGTGGAACAGTAAGGCTGATCAGTGCCCAGCTTTCCTGACACTTCCACATATGGCTGAATCAGAGCAGTTTAAGCAGAGTCTGCGTGGGAGATGGGAAGAGTATCGCATCCCTCAAGCACGTAAGAGCCTGCTGGATATGTTTAAAATCTTAAAAAACCTGAGTGTTGGTTGGTTGCTGGAATGGACTCCTGGCTGGTTATATTATGGTATGGTGCAAAAACAACAGCCATGATATATATATATATATATATACTTGGCCCAGCAGTGCTTTTTGCTATAACACTTGATATTCTATCAAATATAAAAACCTGTCTTTATATTTCTGTTCTAGGTAGTGCATTTATTTCTGTCTTATTCCTAAAGAAGACCATGAGGGCTGCTGATATATTGGGTAAGTAAGCATTTGCTAATGTGGACATGTGTGTCGCCATATGCTTAGCAAGCTGTAACTCACACGCAGCCCCTCACCTTCACACTCCCACTTTCCTGAGCAAGTGTTTCGAAGCAGACTTTCAAAATTGGAAAGAAGTGACAAAAGGAGACAAAATCTTCAATGCATGTGGAAAAGGCTGCATTCCCAAATCCTCTGCTCTTATAACCCTAACTCATTCCTTATGTGTCCTTATTGCTCAAATTTATTTTAATTGTCTATTTTTGCCTCTGAGGATGTATTTAGTATTATCTTTATGAGTACAACACAATTTTAATAAAAACAGTGAAGCTATTGAGTTATTCATTCAACTATAAGATTTTTTTCTTGCTGCATAGGCATTGCACAAAAATTCCAGCTCAACTAAAAGTGACTACTTCCCTTTTGGTATTAATTTTATCACTTCAAAGAGCAAATAATCGTGCTGTCAATGTTTTGTTGGGAAACACGGTCTTCACTGTAAAAGCACGCCATCTTTTTGTCTGTGTCCAAGATTTTTTTGCATATCAAAACTGCCCTGCTGGAACACAGTAATAGTGAGAGACAAGTGTATTTCAGGGTTTGAGCTTCACACAAGCCATCTCGGCTGGGATAGCGCACCTGATGTTGCTGAAGGGCACATGGTATTTCTGTGGGGTTCCTAGTGTCTAAGCTTGATTGTCCATACTATAGCGACAGCATCCCGGCTGTTCTCATGAATGTTTTGGAGAGATTTGTTCACTATTGTTCCAGGAATACTATATAATATTATTTAGGTTTGGGATCCAAGTTTGCCAGCTCAGCTGCTACATTCAGAATCCCCGCTCCCTCGACTGATCATGTTTCCCTTACGGCCTTATACATTGTGTGTTGCTTTAACTAGTGTTCAGCAGTGATTTATTTTATTTCTGTGAGTTCGACTTTGCAAGAAGGATTTAACAATGTTGCTACATTCCATAGGAATGAGCTGTATGATGGGAAATATGGTGATGTTTTTGCAAGAACATAAATATAGAACAGTTCTGCTTTTCCAAAGGAACTGTGTGCAATAGCTGTGCCAGCAAAGTCCTCCGGATGTGCTTTGTTTTGTATTCCTGAGCCTTGTATTCCACACCAATTTATAGGTTTGCCAAGAATTTTAAAGATTACTTGAAAAAAAAAATTGATTAGCTAATATCTTCCTTAATCCAATACAGTTTATGAGCTCAGGATCGGCTTAGTTCTATCTTGATACCTCAATGAACATCTGTGTTTGTCAGCTGGCCGTCCACAGGGCAGAACTTCCAGATTTTTATTAAAAGCACAATAATGCAAGTTCGACCTTGAAAAGGGGCCCTGGCAACCTAATGGCTGAACAGTCTTTTGCAAATCAACCTTTTATAAAGCAGGTCATAGGTCTGCGAATACAGCAGGGAGTGGCGAAAATATTGGCTTCATGACAGCTTCACATAAGCATTGGACTGGAACATATCTGTTGCACTTCATGTTTCCAGGGCAGGTCCATAGCTGGTGCAGACTTTGGGAGAGTTGTGTTTATTTACACTGGTTAATGATCTAGCTGTCTGCCTCAGTAAGCAACTTCTCCTTTCAGTTTAGGATATGTTTATGTGACCTGCTTTCTGCCTGTGAGAAATACAAAGGATCAATTCTCCTTTGTCATGCACTTGGTATTAGAACTGAGAATATTTGAAAATGCATTGCTGAGTTGGAACCCTAATTCATGAGGCTTTACTGACAGCATTTTTCATATTTCCAAAATCCTTTGAGTCTTTAATAAAAATTACACTAGATAAGACCACAAAGGCAACCCAAGTACCTAATCCCAGATCTGATTAAACGGACTTAAATCTTCTTCTAAAAACTGTTTCCAAGTCAGCTGGAGAGCAAGGATGACCATGATTAACAAATATTGTATTACCAAAATAATGTGTCCTTTTCTTTAAAGGCGGAACACTGGCAGTAACAGGGACATACTTGCTGGTGACGTTCTCTCCAAATGTACCCCAAGAACTCACAGCAAGACAAGTACAGAATTACTTAGTGAGCTGGCCTTTTTTGGTATATTCGGTGAGTATTTGGTTCATGCTACTCCCTAAATCAGAAAAACTGGGGTTCTTGGGCTTTTTGCAGCATGATGAATTAGTGGCAGAAAAAAAGCTCCTGAAGATAAATTGTGTGATTTTCATAGGAGAGAGAGTAAGTGTCTGGGTCATCACCCCAGTTCCCAAGTTGAAAATATGCTGAACCAAAAGATGTCTTTCTAACTACGTGCCAGGGGAAAGTCACAGTTGCGCAGGATTAACAAGAATGGAAAGATTTTGGTTTTTAGTGGGCTTGAGGGAAAATCTAAATATTGGCACTGCTTGTATTTCCTATATAGATGTTCATGCCACACTGCCTGCATGTACATCTAAGTTACAGTGCTTTTCTGGAATGTGATGGACTTGTGCTTTTAAAAATCAGGCTATGTATGCTCTTGATCCTGTTTTTTTATTTCCTATCACTCTGTTTTATCCCCATGTTGCTAAGCCTGGCTGAAAGGAGCTTTGTATGGAGTTGAGATGTGGAGAGGCAGTCTGCTTCACTGCCACTCAGGATAATCTGAACCTGAGTTTGAATTCAAATACAAAAATACCATTTTGATTAAAGTATCTGTATACAAACTTCAAATACCATACATCTTCTTTGATGTATTTAATTAGCATCAGGAATAAGACCAGAGTGAGTAGGAGGAATTTCTCTCTCTCTTTTCCTCTGGAATGCTGAAAATTCATTCCTCCAGCTGAAAGTAAAAGATGCAATATAGGAGCTTCAGAAGCACTTTTTTTTTTTTTTTTCCCCAGTAAAGTGACTCACTTGGGTTAGATTATTAGTGCCCAGGCTTTTCTCAGTAGGAAGCTCAGTTAGAAAGGCACTGAGTAGACAGTTTAAGGACCTTAATCTTTTAGCCAACCTGCAGACTTCAAATACATCTAACTATCCATGAGACTACTGATTAAGCAGAAAGTACATGCTACCACAAAAAATGTTGATCCTCTTGCTAATTTTTTTGTGCATTTAAAAGCTCCTGAAAGATGGTGATACAGCTCAGTGGAAAAAAATTAATGATCATGCTACATAAATCACAACATGCACTTTCAATTAGGCAGTAGAGAGGCTTTTGAAGGCAATGCCCGAGAGTTTTGGGGTACTCAGTAGGGGTAGCCTACTCCTCAGCCTCAGCAAGAGCCTCAGGAAATTCATGTAACCAGCAGAGGGACTTCTTTAAGAGAGGGTTCAGAACAAGGGCCTTGGTGCTCACTGGAGGACCCTCTCTCTTTCCTACTGAATATCCCCCTCTACCATGCAGTTCCACTTATGGATACTAAAACAGCCTGACATTTTAGGCACTGGTTTTAAATTGATGACTCACCTATTTCTGTAGAGACGGTGGAGGGAGAAAACTCCCCATGCATGCCCAGTGACACCAGTAATTTCTGTGTCATATGCTGTTTACATTTTCTTAAAAAACAGGTTGCTGGAAAAGGGCTTTTCCCCATGTGAGGACTTTTTTGTCTTTGTTTCAGGAAAAGTTTATAAGAACACAGCCTAGGAAGACTGTGCTGTATTCTTCCTAGGAGACATTATAAGGAGGTGGTAGGTGAGCCCTGGAGTTTTCTTTCCCCTCTTGTCTCTTTTCCCTGCCTCAGTCAGCATCCAATTCTACATGTACAGCATGGGTTGCAGGGAAGGATGGAGCAAGTACACAGCAAATCTTGTTGACTCAACAACATGTGAAGCTTTATTTGTTCCTTCTGCTCCCTGGATTATCTGTTTTGAGCTTCCTCTATCCAAAAAAAAACCCGAGGAGTGAAAGGCTCCACAAGAGACTTTGAGATACCAGCCTGATTATCCTGGTATGCTGCTGGAAGTTCAAGCAAACCCAGCAATAAACATTCTCTTTGGGCAGGGAACTAGCTCTTCATAATTGTTTGTAAAATGCCTAGCACAGGTTGGCTGCTGAGATACCAAAAAATGCAGCAGAAGTTGCAGAGCTTCCAGTATAAATACATAGCGAGGAGACAGTACAGCACTGTAATACAGCCCAACAGTCTTTCTAAAAGTAGCCCCGAAGTGTGGTCTGCTGAGAAATACAAAGCCCCAACGGTACAAAATGTTCTGTGTGGGTGATAAACCATCCCATGTGGCCCTCCACTGGCATCAGAGGACTTCTGCAGAAATAGCTTCTAGTTCCCACATGGGACAACTTTGAGTCACCTTCTGAGACTTTGCAGTAGCATAATCATGTCTGAGCAAGAATGACTATCCTAGCTTGGTTTTTTCTCTTTTGCTTATGTGCACTTTGAGTCACTACAGAAGACATCAATTATAGATGAAGCTCTTAGGTTTCCATAAACAAAAGCGTAGTGAGTATTGGGTTGTTAATATTTAATCTCTGTAAAATCAAGTTCAAAGCATTTCTGCTTTTCCTTCAAAGTGCCTAGAAGACCTTCCTGGTTCATTGGTCACTATGTTGCTGTATATCCCAGAAAAAGAGTTGAGGCAGCCAGTGTGTTGTTTTGTTCTGATGCCTTCTGGTAATGCTTAGAAACATGGAAAACATCATGATTATAAAAAAATGTTGATGAGATGTAGGCTTGAGGAGACTTCAGTAGAGATTAGTTACAATAGCAAAAATGATTGTAAGCAGGTCAAACTCCTTCAATTCCTCTAAACAGACTATGTGAAGCTGATGCAATCTACGCACTTCTCAATCCTGGACTTTGTACTTAACATTACCACAGCTGTCAACTATGAGAGCAAGCACCATTTTGGGTAATTCTCAGGGGACAATTGTAGGCAACAGCTGGGTCACTCCAGGAGGGTCCCTGTCTACGTGAGGTCCTGCTAGGAGCCACGCACTCTGCTTGCAGCATGACTCAATGTGATGGCCTCTCTCTTATCATGTGATTAAAGGTGACCTGTTGGTGGGTCACCGAGTGGCAGAGAACCATGGAAGAATAGTTTGGCTGTTGGGCAGCATGAGGTGAGAACTAATTGTCTGAATTTCATGCTTAGTGTGCGAGACTTGACAGAGCTGAGTAGTCTTAAATAACAGCCCTGAAAAGCAAACATCAACTTTCTCCCCAGGTTCAGCCACAGGACTGCCATCTCTGGCACTACACCACTGCTGCTCTTGGGGCTTCCCCAGGAGGCAGAAGTAGCCAAGCACATCGACCTGTGCGCCCCTTCCAGAGCTGCCACCAGGGACTCTTTTATGTCCTTTCGATGGTTTTGCTTGGCTGTTTCTTTCAGAAGTGAGTCTTCTTGATGGGTTTGTTTGCTTTTAACAGGAGGAGATCACAGTGGAGCTTTATGGTAGCTTTAGCAAGAGAAGAGCTGATGATAGGATGAGGACTGATGGAGGGCCGATGGACAGAGCCAGCAACAGTGACTTGGCTCAGTCGAGGCTAGTGGTGCTCGGCACTACCTGCCACTCTGGGGGTCAGAGTGTGGGGGAAGAGGGAGTAGAGCACTGATCTGGTGTGATGGAGTGGTTTGAGCCAGCGACTGTCCCTGATCTTGTTTTTGGATGACTGTTCTTGCATAGTTTGAAATCTAGGTGGCAGGGCAGATGATGGTGCTTCCCTCTATTGGCATTGTGATTAAAGTTGTCCAGGGGATATAAAATGAATCAATACCTGAGGTGTAGCTGGCTGCCTACAGCAGGGCTGTCTCATGGGTTTCTGCACACTCTGTCGCAAAGAGTCCAAGAGTCTAGGACAGGTGATGGGTGCTCAAGCTTGCACTGGGAGGTAAGCATATCTCACAGTGCTGTGTCACCTGGTGTCATGGCCCCATCCCAGTCACAGCATGGGAAAGGGTACATGGGACATCTTTCTTAGCCTGGGTACCTTTCCATATGGGGAATATTTATTTAGCACAGCTTTCTTCCATTCTGTTAGCAATTGTTCCTGTCAAAATAGCAACTGAAGCTATTTGGAGGCTGTTGTAGCTGCAGGCTGATAATGTGATATTCCCCTCTGGCCCTAAGATGCGTTTGCCAGTGGCATGAAGAATCAAGCTGCTACCTTTACTTCTCCTCTCAAGTTCCCTCAAAACCCTGTCGTAGTTTTCCACAGGGAGGCCAAGATGAACTCACACGTCTGCAGATCTTAACATGACTTCTGCCTTGGGTCCTGAGTTAGACATACCCAGTGTTACACTGTTGAATAAAGCTGGGGAGGCTGACAGCTACTTTCTGTGTGGCTGAGGCAAACGTCTCTTTTCTACCATCTGGTGGCCCAGCTTTCACCTCTGGGTGCAAACCTGGTGGGGAGGGAAGTTGCACTGGAGGGAGATGAGACTAGTGCTCCATAAGAGATTGCAAAGATTATTAAACAAGGATTAGTCCAGGAATGCATTTTTTTTAACCAACAGCAAAGTAGTTTCTTATTTTCACCACATATAACACAGAAAACCCAGTTTCCTTTTTTTTTTTTTTAATCTTATGATAAGTATTCGACATTTTTAAAAAAAAGGTGGTATAAAATCCAGATTTGTGTTTATTATTTTCTGAGATGCAATTGTCTCTCACTTGTCTTTGGGAGCAAGAGATCAGTGTGAAGGTAAATAAAAAATGAATTAAAGCAAAATTATATTCTGTTCGTATTTTTGACCACTACTACCCTGGGGGAGGTGTGAGTGTGGTAGAGAATTTTAGTAGCTGAATGTAGCTGATGACTGCTTTCCTGCTGCAGTCACTCTCCAAAATAAGAAATCAGCTCGCTTACATTATATAACCACCACTAGTAACTGCTTAGTCGCTTCTTGGGAAATTTCATCAGCACAATACCGATGTCTTTTTGAGTCTAACACTGCCTTATGGCAACTGTTGGTTTAAGAGCAGAGTGGCATTATAAAACATGAAGTAGCATGTTGGTGATGAAACCAAGGAGATAGATATGAGGTTTTTCTATGACTTGTTGGTAAAAAATGACGATAACCAGATTCAGTAATGATGACAATCTCGTTTTCTGTCTTATTTCCCCCATGTGATTACTTTCCAACATGCACCAATGAACTTCTCTGTCTCCATGCAGTCTCTAAGGTTACCGGGCTTCTGAGCACCTCTCAGTGCAAGGGTCCATCATCCCTGTTTTCATGAGTCCTCTGGGCTTCACAAAAGCTTTTTGGCTCTTGCATTTGCTGGGTTTTTTTAGGCATAGAGGGGTATTTGGGCAACGTGGGTAAGAGGGAGAATACCCATGCTTTCAAGATGGCAAAAGGCAAGAGTTACTAAGGGAATCTGCAAAGAGACGCTTTAACAACAAGTCAGTAAATGTAACTGCCATTTATTTGTCGGATATTACTGAAGGAGCAAGATTGGACAATGCACAGGGTAAGTAAAGCTGCTTCAGCAGCTGCAGATGTCCTGCAGTGTGGTCTGCTAATGTGTCATTGAGCTTTTCAAGGTAAGCTCCTGACAGGTACCTGTGATTTGAGAACCACCACATGAAATAAATGTTTTCCTCCTTACGATACATGGCAGAAAATTTGAACAAAAGGACAGTGTTTGGGGGAATTTTTTTAGAAACGACTGGGGAGAGGGGCAAAGAGGGTAGTAAAAATAAGCTTCCATGTCACAAAGAGTGACACTAGGAGTACCATAACTGGGAGAGACTGCTGTTCCTCCAGGTAAGTGCTTTACTCCATAGGAATTATAAACAGAGTTTCTGTAAGAATTATCACCAATAAACATGGGTATCTTTGCTGTCACATTAAAAAAGTCTTCTTAGTGCTAGCAGTGACAAAATATAGCTAGAAGTGCAAAAAGAAAAACTAAAGAAATAAGAAATGCTCAAAGTTTAACTTTTGCTATAATAGGAAAAATAAATGTCAACAATCATTTGATAGCTCAGTCAAGTGGTAATCAGGTTAGTTTTTAGCAGAAGATGCTTAATAAAGTAATTATCTTTTGAACTGTTAGAGCAGAGAAAATGAATGTGACATCTCAAAGACTTTGAATGAAACATTTATTACATAGTTTCACAGCTCTAACTTTCTTTTATTTTCAGATCTTAGAAATTATAATATTCTGCATTCTCCTCTATTTTTACAAAAGAAAGGCTGTGAAGCACATCGTGGTTTTGTTAATGATGGTAGCACTACTGGGTAAGAACATATTATCCACTTTAACGTTCCTGTCTGTTACTTGATAATTCCTTGTCGCTCAGTCTCCCCAGCTAGTTTAGATTAGGGACATTTCAAAGCAGTGTGCTGAAGGAGAATCATTGAAACATTCCACATCATTTTTACAGTGGTCTCTTTTTGAAGAGAAAAGCAGATTATGAAACATAGTTTCTATGCTTATTGCTAAGACTATTTCTTTTTACAGATTTCCTGAAATTAATACGCTGTGTGAATGGTATTCTGAAGATATTTTAAAATAATGCTTTAGCTTCAGATCCTTGGAAAGGGGACCATTTGAAATTCTGTTTCAGAGAGGAGGCTAGCTGTGAAAATCAGTTTTTTAAAACAAAGCAGCTTAAGACCTTGTAAGCACTCTGTAAGCAAATGATATGCTGTGACTGCATGGGAACTTTTCTTTGAATTACCTACGTCTGTTTGCATATGCAACATTTTGTACTTTAACATCTTTCCAGAAGCACTACAAGCAGTCAGTGAGCCATTGAAGTTTGCCTTCTGATTAACATTGTGACAATCAATATCCAGAGAAACAAGGGAGATCATTTTATCAGGCAGCATTCAATAAAGTTAAACTTGAATCAGTTTTGAAAAATGTCAGGAATCAGTTTTGAAAAATGTCTCTAAAGGTCCGCTGCTTGCAGGCATATATTAAGAATTTGTCACCACCCCGTGTCTTCTCGCTTCACCATGAAATCCTGATGGGACATCACATTTCTTTGGCTGAAGCAAAAGGTGCTTGAACTGTGCCGTTGAAGGCAATGATTACTTTTTCACTGAGCTCAGCAGGTGCATGTATCAATCTGCGAAGACTTATAAAGCACATTTCTAATGGAGCTGGTCATGAGTGTTTTGACAAAACAGAATTTCACTAAAGTTTGCCAGTTACACAATTTGGATTTAACTGAACGCGAAAAACCCTCACAGATTTATTAACTGCTTTCCTTCAGATCCCTGCCTGGTTTCTTACCCAGCTGAAAAGCTCAGACTTGTTGGGGACAGCCTTCCCATTTAAGTTTCCCAGCACTAGGAACATTAGGATCTGTGGCTCTTCAGAAGCCTTGAAGGATTTCCATGCTCCCTGCATGAGGCAGAGATGGAAGAGCCTCAAAAGCCTTAGGTCTAACTGTTCAACTTCTCTTGGTTTGGATGAGTAAAGTGTGAGTCCAGACACCTCTCAGCTCCTAGCATGGTGCCTGGGAGCTTTGGCAGAGCTCGCTTGAGCTGCTCTGCAGCTTCCAACCCTGCCATGAGGAGTGTGAAGCACTATGTGCTCCTGAGAGATGAGCCCACCCAGACTCCTTGTCATGTAAATGAAAGCCTAAAAATCCCCAGCTGGGCATCTACACTTGAATGCTGCAGTTCTGGGCAGACCCATCATGATGGCTGCCCCAAGCAAGGTCAATACATGGCTCCAGGAGACCTGGGCCATTGGGCTGCTTAGCCCTGTGTGCTTATTCTGCCGTGGAGCCTGCCAGCCCTGATGCCACCAGTGTCAAAGGGACGCACGGAGCTGCTGAACAGCAGCAGGGCTGCAAACCTGTGCCCCAGCAGGCACTAACTGCAGTTTGGTGGTTGGGCTGCAGTCAACCAAAAATAACAATTTTAGCTGGTGACTGCTGAGGTTTTGGTGAGCATATGCAGCTTCAGGAAAAATGTGTCATTATTTCTGCTCTATTAAAAAAGACACAAACAAACAAATCCTGGTTCATGGGAACTTTTGAAATACTGATATTTCCCTCAAGCAGCAAACACAGAACTGTGACTGGCTCTGGTTCCTGCAGCCGTCCTGGTGCCTGGCAGTCCCCACAAAGCTACACTTGGAGCCTTCTGCTTGCTCCCCAACCTTTCTGCTGAGCGAAGTGATGAGGAGCTGAGAGAGGGCCCGGCAGCTTTGCTCCCAGCCGGCTGACATGTGCGCTGGCCTCAGAGGGCCTGGCTGCAGGAGGGGTGGACAAGGCCTGGGGTCTCAGTAGCAGCTTGTGGAGGGGGATTTCTACCTTTTCTCATGGCTGCACAGATATATTCCTGGTGGAGGGTTCATAGAGATGTAAATGAAATGTAGAAAGATTTCTTTAAAGAGAGGGCAGCCTCTATGTTTCACTGGATATCAGAGCTACTTTCATTATGAAGAAAATACAGTGGTGATCATCATATCTGCAAACGTTTTGCTTAGTACAACTCTGAAAGTTCATTTGATGAGAATTATCTTACCTCATGTATATACTGGCAGTTATCATAAGTTTGGGGGGAAATAGTTCAGATTGAAGTGGGATTTCTGAGTTTCCTGCCCTAACAGCTGGAAAGTGACATCATTTGTCACACTAGCCTTGGGGGGTGGGGTGGTGGTGGTGTTCTATCAGAGATAGGAAAACTATTTCCTAGATTTTGAAACTTATTCCAGGGCTACTTTAATTAAAAGATCATTCATTTCTTAAAAAAACCCCAAAACCCCAAAAAACAACCAAAAAAACAACAAAGCAAACAAAAAAACCCCTTATGCTTTCTTTTCTGGTTTGTTAAAATTTTAAAGGATGGAAACTGCCCTTTCATCACAAACAATTTTCCAGCAATCTTTACACTTAGTTGTATGATTCAAACTACTAATTTTTACCTGTAAGCGTTCTTTCTTTTAAAATAGCAACTGCCCCATGTTAGGGTGCAAATCTCAATTTTTATGTAGGCTGCTTGTTGAGGCTTGAGTGTATTTTTTGACTTTTTATCATACTATTAGCACCACTGCAGGCCAGGATTTGACCTCCTCTACTCACTTTTACCGCTGTGTTTGTTAAACCACTCCACCTATTTCAATTACAGAGCAAGAAGTGAAGTACTTGATGGAAAGGTTGTCATGAAAACAGTAAATTTCATGATGGTGAACAGGATCATCACAAGATGTACGCAACTCTTAAACTCCCCCTGAACTTTGGGCTTTGCTATAAGAAAAATGCTTGCAGTCAAAACCACAGACCTGAATCCATTCTTCTTCCCCCACCTTTCCTCCCAGCCCTTGGCCTGAACCTTTTGCACAGTACAGCTCTCCTTGGCAATCTGAATTTTGCGGTTACGGGAGGATGAATCAGACCACCGAAATCCAACACTCCTCAGCTCTGGAAGAGGCTGGAACCGGATCCCAGCTGGGGGACGGTGCTCCTGACGATTAATTACTCTTCTTCAAAGGTCATCTCCACACCCTGACTCTTCTTACAATTTTTAGTTTCTTTTGAATTTGCTACATTTTATTTGCAATAATCACAGCCTACTTGGATTAGCTTCAACAAACCAAGAGCGCACTCCAAAAGGAAATCTAAAGTAACTCTTAGCTGAACTGTCATCCCCTTTTCTAAAAGATGTGTATTGCAAGACCTCTCCGAACCGGACACGTATTAAAACCATTGCCTGCTGTCTGAGACTTGTTTGTGGTGATGCAATGACAATGACTACATGGATTGAAAACACACTACTGAAGTATTCTATTTTGTGGGATAAATCCAGTAAAAGGTCTTAAGAGCCTGGCCCCTGAAACAAAATGCAGACCCCTGTGTTTTTTGTCTGCTCTCCATACATAACCTATGGGGAGAGTTAGGTGCTTCGTGATGCGAACCCAAACCCAGCGTTCACCAGCTCCTGTCTCAGCAAAGAAATCCCGAGGGTGAGGAGTTATTTTAGGCTGCTGGTGTTACGTGCAGGCTGCTATTAGGAGGTGTCCCAGTTGTTTTGAACAGATAACGAGACCTCTCAGGCCTCTCCTGAATAATGCAAGGTGGGCTCCAAATCAGCAGCTGGAGCTAAGGAAAGTATGTCTGGAAGATGTTGAGACTGTTGTACCACCTCCAACTGGTAGTCTAGTGTTTAGAACATGTGCCCAGCAGTGGGAAATGGCTCCAGTTCTTTCCTCTACCTAAGCCCAGCTTCTCTTACATGTACACACACACACACACAAGACCTACCTTGCAAGTTTTTATCAAACTCTAAGCTCACCTACTCTGGTGAAAATGGGGAAACTTTGGGTAGATGCAGGGTTGCAGACCTCAGTGCTGTAAGAACTTAAAAGCAAAACACAAAGCACACATGGAGTTAAGGCCACTCTGAGTTTAGGCAGTAGCTTAGTGAGTGTTTCTGAAATCACATACTTGATTTTAGGTGCCTAAATTCTACCTCAGTGTCTTTTTAGGTGATCAGACCTGTGGCTCTGACCTGGCACCTCATCCTTCCTCACCGATGCTCTGAGGTCCCTGCTGTGAATCCTGCCCTGCTAATCTCTCCCTTTCCCTTTCAGCGTCGCTGACTGTCATTGCTGTAAAGGCTGTGGCCAGCATGATAACACTCTCTGCAAAGGGGAAAATGCAGCTAACTTACCCTGTTTTCTACATCATGATTGTTTTAATGGTTACTTCTTGCGCTTTCCAAGTCAAGTAAGTGAATTTCTACTTATTTCCTAATCTTGGTACCCATTTATCTGTCAGTTTTGTTCAGTACTGACTCCAGATCCAAGTTGCACGTAAAGTCAACAAATTCCTGGCAGAGCCTTGATAGATGCATTAATTGCCTACACGTGATTATATTGTTTATTTAGGCTTTATTTCTCAGTTTATAATTGATTAATTACACAGATGCTACCTCATTTCATTATCACCTTGTACAAAGTCTTCCCAAATTTAGATCTAGTTTTGGCACTCGTTTTGAACTCACAAAATGAAATGTATGTTTATGTAAATTATTTTTTTTTGTTACTTTTAGCAACCTTCATTGCTAAATAATCAAATGGCCTTGTTTACCCTCATAATGCATCTCTTTTCCCTAGCTAATGTCACTTGTCATATCAAAGAAGAGAGTTTACCCTGACTTTCTCCCTGCCTCTGTTAAATCTGCATGTTGTGCTTCGCTATCCTGTATGTCTGGGCCTTCTTAGGAAATAGTTAACTTTTAGTGTGCAGGGGACATCAGAGTTTTCCCTGCTGGCCTCTGGCCTGTTAAGTGATTGTTATGCTGCCTTTGCAGATTGCTGGGGGGTGGCAGCATGGTAAAATACAGCTTTGCAGTTGAACAGAGAATCCATTCCCTTTATGCCAGTCCCTCTGCTTCAGGTGCTGATAGCATCATTCAGTAATCTCATCTAGACTGCTCCAGTGCGGTCTGAGTGTTTACTTGCACGATTATTTTCCAGTAGAAGAGCCAACCCAGCTTTCTCATGGCAAAACATGCCATTCCCATGTGGAATCAGAAAGTCCATGCGTTATTATGCAGTGACTCTCCATGGCTGACTCAGGAACTCGCCTGTAACAGACTATAGAGTGATTTACATCCAGCTTGTCTTCACTGGGAGAACGGCTCAGGGCATTCAAAATCGGAAATAAAAGCTTGGTAAATAGGAAGCTCTTAAATTAACCTCTCTTTCTTGCCAGTTTTTTTCTTTCTTTCATTTGCTGGGTCAAAATTAAAACAGAAGTGAAATGTGCCCATTTCATTCCCTGGGCTCAGTATCTCTTTCTCTCTTCTCTGTTGGACACATTTTCTCATGGAGACAGTGCTGTCAGTCTAAATTTTTCATTTTATTTGTTTCCTCTCTTATTTTATTTGACTGTCGTGTGTTAGCTCAGAACAGCCTGTGCTGCAACATTCTCCTGGATTCAATGCTGGGCCTTAGTATCATTGTTTTAGGTCCTGTGACCAAGTTTGTTGCAAATGGGAGAAAATAATGAGGTGTTTTCAATGACTTCAAAATCCTGACTATCCTGTGGATATGTAGGATTTCTTTATTTTTAAAGCACCATGGAGACTGTTCAACAGTTGCTAAAATAACCATGCAATTACTTTAATGGCTAAAACAGATCCAAGCTTGGATTTTTACTGTGCACATATACCGTACCAGTGAAACATTTAAGTATGGTTCTTTTTATAGGTTTTGAAAGGACTCTGCAGCCTCCTGATTTTTCTCTTTCAGTCTGAAATGCACCGTTCACATAACAGAATATCTGCCGGTGCATCCGAGCGTTCACACTCATGATTCATCACCCTATGGGTAAACGTTGCTAGCTCTGGTCTCCATACAAGTGGGTTAATTGCTTTGCCTTTTTCATCCACTGATGAAGACTGCGCGGGCTGCTCCATGGCCCAGTCTCTCAGTCCTGCAGGTTTATGTGCAGTGTACACTCCCGAGGTCCTGCGCGTCCTTGCTCATGATTCTGGTGAGGGTTTGTGTTGCCTTTCCGAGGAGCACAGCAGAGTGTTTCCAACCCAAGGACAACAGGCTTGGAGCCACCTTCCTGGACTTTCCCGGCAGGACAGAGTGTGTCCTGATTGGGGTATGATTGCATGGATAAACGTACAAATATGTGTTTTAGCCAAGCTGGATTGTGCAGGGGCAGCAATGTGGACTTCAGCAAAGTGAAACATTTCCTACGAGGACTCGCGTGTGCGTGTCCGTGCTGGAAAAATACCCTTACACAACCTGTTTAAATTAGAGCAACTTGTCCCTGGCTGCTTGCAGGCAGCACTGCTTCCAAGAACCGATGCAGACTGTAAGCAGTAATACCCTAGCATTCCTCCCTTATCTGTGGCAGACAAAATTTTTCCAACACTGCTTCAAAGGACTCTCCAATGACAGTCTATGGCCAGAAAAATCCACGCCAACTTTCTTGCTTTCGTGTATTTGTACTCTGCAGAGTCAAAACCAGAAGGTAAATTCGATACACATATGCATTTGTGCAGGGCTACTTGCTATTGTGGTAAGAAATGATCACACTTATTGTTAAACCAACATAAAGTGGCTTAACCTGACTTGAAGAGCAATCAGCCTTTTATAAGCGTGAGGTGCAATAACTCTTGTCTTCCAGGTTCTTGAATCAAGCAGTGCATCTGTACGAAGCAACAGCAGTTGTGCCCATTAATTTCGTGTTCTTCACCACCAGTGCAATCATTTCAGGTTTGTTTCTGGCCTTCTGTCTCTACAGAGCTATTTTCTAAACATCAGGTTTTCAAGAATTACTGCCTGGGAACAGGAACACAGACCAGCCATGTTTGTCTTCACAAAAAGAAGTTTTTCCTAAGTGACAGGTGTTTAAGTTCTGAAAAATGAGTAAGTTCACAACTTTTGAAGCAGAATAAAAATAATCAAATTCTAGCATTTCCAGAACTGATATGTACAGTTTACTGTGCCTTGCTGGCTTACTAGAAGTACCTGCATTTATCCTAGCCTCATCTTGACATCCAGTAAATGCGTTTACCATGTGCACACCAGCCTCTCCATATCCGAACTGGTAGAGTAATTTTAACAGCCTGGCAAACTACTCAAATGACAACCAGCTGTGTTTCATAGTAGTTAGTGTATATTCAGTTTCAGAAGGTGGAATTCTAGGTTAAGTGAAGGAAATAAAATGACTCCAAAGACCTTTTAAGTGTTTAACATTTTATTCTGGGTGAGAACTTTGAACTCAGTGTTGTTAAAGAGGGACTGCAAATCTTGGAAATGGTGTGCAGTGTAAGGACATGAACAGGGAGGACGACTAAGATGCTGTATCAGCAATGAGCCAAAATGATCATGTTGTTAGAACATTTATGACTCATTTTAACACACACTGGGGGCTTTCCTGTCATTGCTGTGCAGGAGTTTCTCATGCAGAGCTGCCATTAATGAGAAGGGGAGTTAGCTTCATGCACAGATTGCCTCAGCACCTGTGTTAGAGGAGACCTACGCTTTGTGACTGAGAGGATACTTGCGCCAAAAGGGGTTTGCGTTCTTGTGACCATATGGGGAATTTGGCCTTGTGCCTCCTTAAAAGATCAAGTACCTATTCAGGAATGGCTTAATAGCTTTGAGCCTGGATACACATCCATTTGCACCAGGTTGGTTAAACCAGTGTAGGGCTTAGGAGAACAAGCTCTGCTGAATCTTGCCGGGGTGCTCATAGAAGATACCTCATCTCATGATTCCCCCATCCCGAGTTACAGCCTTTGAAGATACAGTCACACATCAGCTGCACTGGTTCACACGCTAGCGTTTCTAAGCAAAGCTATGATCATCAGTGGTTTAAAGCTAATATACTTGGCTGTGAATTGGGGCAGCTGAGATCCAGATACACATCTGGTTCTGTCACCTCCACTGCAGAGGTGCTAATTCCTGGAAGAAGGGTGACCAGAAGGAGCTAGTGATCCCTTCAGCCAGAGAGATTTGGCAAACTTGGCTGCTGGAGCCCTTAACTTGGTGTAAACATCAGGGACACAGCTAGTTATCGAAAACCTGTTCCCAATTGGAGTTAAAATGTCCACATGGTCTGCTGGAGTGGCTTAACTAAATCCATGAAGAACCTGTTAGCTACATTGGTATGACTCTGCTTGTGAATAAGACCTTGAGTTTGACCTGCATAAAAACTGTAGCTGACAATGCAAAAAATACCTGCATCTGTGCAGTGACTAACACAGCACATGCCCCAATCTGATAGACTAAATCTTCTCCAGTCCTATGCTTGAGAAAGCCTAGATAATAGAATATGGGCATATAGTGAACCCATCACAATCTGTATTAATACTTTATTTGGGATTTTTTTTTGCTCCATTTGAGCGTGACACTGCTCCTGACCCTCCCAGCTGTAATTCATATCACTTGGAAACCAGTCAAGATCTGCAATTCTTGTTTCTGTCACATTCCAGGGGTCATATTTTATCGGGAATTCCAAAGTGCAGCTTTGCTGAGCGTGTTCATGTTTCTGTTCGGGTAAGTGTATATCGGCCTGAAATCTGCACTAACATTTGTATAGAAACAGCATTGCCTTGCGGAATCCCTTCTTTTCTCAGTAAGAAGAAACCCATCTTGTTATTAAAGTATTATGGAATAGCCATTATAGTAGGATAAAAAAACATTAAAGGAAAGATTGATGTCTGTGCTTTGGGAGTTTGGAGGCCTGGTTTTGAATCCAAATATGTAAAAATGTGACACACTTATGAACTACTAATCTCACGATGGAATGAAAAACCAGCAGCATGCGTTCCTCCAGCAGGAAGGAGAAAGCACTGCTTTCCACCAAAGATCATGTTATAGGGGGTGCTTTTACAACTGCGAGAAATCTCCCATGTTACCTTCCACTCTGCGTGTCCAGCTGGTCTTTGCTGCCACTAGGCGTGGGCAATTATATGAGTTGCTTGCCTGCCAGGTGGTACGATAATATCCTCTCCCTCATCTTCCCGTGCCAAGGAAGACACAGCATGCCTGCAGAAAAGTTCAGAGCACGTTAAGAAGCTGTTAACAATAAATGGTTGAAGAAGGGCTTAGGTGTTGCGAGAGCAGAAACCTTCTGCTGGCTACCAGGACCATAACAACTCTGGGGACAGGTGACAGTTACCTGATAATGGGTGTGAGACAGTTAAAAGCATCTCCCAGAACTGCTGGAGGTGTCTTGCCACAGTGCTGTCAAATAAATGGGGGCTGATGATAGCTACAGACTTCTTCGTCCTCTGCAGTTGGACTGGAGTAGGTGCACGCAACCACTATCTTGTTTGACTGTAAGAAAAGTGACAGAAAATGGAGATGAGCAAATTCAACCCATGTATTTGGCAGGCAGGAATTAGCAGTTGTGTGTCCAACACAGAGTGGATAAAAGATTTATCCAAGCGCAGCAGTTCTTCATTGCTCCTGGCTTACAGCTTGCCCCTGAGACACACAGTCAAATGAGAAAAACAACAGAGATGTTGATTGTCTGCAGCTAGGCTGAGTTGTTAATGAAATTGCAAATGCTAGAATGCTAGCTGAGATGCTCTGTGAAGATTTGCTCAGGGATTCAAATGTTGTGGACTCACACTCACAGGCATTTGATTAGGTATATATTGCTGAAAACGTAATTTTGCCTGCGGAGCCTTTGGAATTGATAATAAAGCTTCAGGAGGCAAAAACTAGACTGAAAGGGAGCCCAGGATGAATTTATAGAGCTGCCAGGAAGAAAAATTCCTTTATAAACTGAGCAGCTTGGGTTTGGAAGTCCTTGAAAAACAAACATGGAAAGAAATTCTCATCTCAGAGGCAGTGAACTGTTTCTAATGATACTATGCCACTGTTATTTTGCAGGTGTCTCCTTTCTTTCCTTGGTGTATTTGTAATTGCAAGGAATAAAAAAGAGGAGCACTTACAAATTCATTTTATTGACTATGGACATATTCCGGGTAAGTAGGGCTTTTTTTGTGTCTCTCTATTTAAAAATGAGATATCGGATAATGGGATGACCTAGGAGAGTCGAGTCACAAATGTGCTCTAGTCATATTTAATAAATATACTGTTCCCTTAATTTCTATTCCTGTTCCCAACAGATTTTTCAAAGAATTTTTCAGAGTTTTTCCAAGCTATTGTTACAACCAGTCAAATGAAAACAATGATTACTGGAGCAAAGAATGTTTAAATGATGGATTGGTGGGGATTTGTTTTATTAAAATTCTTCAGAGTTGTTGTTTTTCCCTTCTCTCACACCATTTCCTTAGGACAAAAATTGACAGGCAAAATACAACCAGATTCTCACAGTTCATGCTATGGCACTTTGAATAATGACGACGACTCGGTGAAAAATGAAAGCTGAAAGAAGAAAGCACCTTACATGCCAATTTACGGAGGAACGCCACTGAAACAAGGATCAGCAGCACCTTTTTGTTGGACATATTCAAGTATATGTTGAACTCCTGTATGTTGATGAATCACAGTATTATTTAATCCTACTTAATTTATCCCATGGCTGCCCCAAATGTGTTCTGAAGATAAAGGAAGCCTTAAGAAAAACTAAATAACCATTAATGAAACGGAACATTTTCCTAATATCAATGCCTCTCAGGGATATTTTTGGAGTCTTAATTGCCTTGAAATGCAAATAGGCATAGAACAGGATTATAAAAATTCCCCTCCGAAACCCCTCAGATCTGTGTAGATGCTTAAAGACAAAGATGGGAAATGAGGAGAATTTTTGTAAGTGACTTCAAAGTATTCTGCTATATGTGTAACACCTTTAAAAAATCTGATATTTCCTGTTCAGGAGTCAAAACTGTAGGCATATATACAGTATACACAAGTATGTACACACATGTTATAGTATGTGTAGAGGGAAAATCCTGATTATCTTTTGCCATCAGATTAATTCTCTTTATCTTCCAAGGAAGTAAACACTAGCGTGAGGAGGGGGAAAGAAGAGAATATTTGCCATAAATACAGGCATGTGCACACACGCACACATTTGAGGTGCCCAGCCATGGCAGAGCTAGGGAACCACGCCTGACATTTTACATCTTTCCAGGAGAGTCCTGTCCACTGGGCTGGGCTGGGCTATACTATCTGTTAGTATAGTCTAGCCTGAGGTTTAGCCTCTGGTTTTAGGAAAACAAGGTTTTAGTGAACACAGTGCAAAGTTCTCCAGAGGGAATGGGGTAGGCAGGCTCCCTGCCTTGATGTGTCTTGGAAAAATACTCCTGAAAAAGAAAAGTAGGGCAACTCCTACTTCCTTCCTAAATCTCTGGTAACCCTGAATGAGGAAAGGCTGTAAAAAACAGGATCACAAAGAGTCGCGGTACCGGTACCATTCTTCCTCCATTAAATGTTAGTGTCTCCACACTGCTTTGAAGAGCCAGCAGTGATGGGAACTGTGGTGATACAGGGTCTGTGTTCAGGTCTGGGAGGTCTCAGTGCCCCTCAGTCCCAGCCTCCCGGCAAGAAAGCTTCTTCTGGGCATTCATCATGGGTCTGCTTACCCCTGCCTGGTGGCACCAAGCTACCTCAGCGGGCACAGTGGGGCTCAGACACCTCCTCTACAGAAACAAGTGGAAGTGCTCTTGAAAGGTGTTCACGTCTTGGACAAAATTCTTTTAGATTTGAATTAATCTGCAGTAATGGATAGGGGCCATTGTGTGTATTTTGTTGCGGTGGGATAGGAAATGAGGTTTCTTTTTTTTTACCCACCAAATAATTGTTTATTTCATTTTCAAATAGGTACAGTTGAAGATCCATAAGAGAGTTTCATTTCAAACCCTACAAAGCATACACAGAGCTGCAGTTCTTCCTATGCAGCAATGTCCCAGGAGCCAGGGTGCGGGGTGGTGGCTATGAAGTTGTTTTCCAACATGGGTCTTTTCCAGCTGGCACAGGACAAGACTCTGTGTCTGCACCTTACTTGTACCAGCAGCCTGGTCGTGGCCTTCCTTTCCCCTCTTACAGCATAAGTTCAAGTTTCTAAAGCTTAAAATAATAAAAAAGCACATTCTTTTTGTATGCTTTCTCCAGGGAATAAGGGCATGCCTCTATCTTTGTTTTGCAAGTCAAATTTAAGCCACTTTCTAAGTCTCAAGTGAGAGTGCGTGCTAAAGATGGAAATAGGAGGCCTCCAGTTTTTCAGTCTGTGACCTGGGAAACAAATGGGTGAAAGGATTTGGGTTTGTTTCTTTTTTAAATGATTAGCCTTGGGCACCTTTCCAAAATCTGTTGCCATGATTTGGGAGGGCTGGAGGAGATAATTAGGGTTTCCAGATAAAGGATTTTATCTTTAAAGCAGGAAATAAAATGTAAAAATCTGTGGCAAAATTTACTATTTGTTTTAAACTACTGTATTTCTTCTTTTCTTCCTATAGGCTTATAAAAGAATTTCAAGGGTTAAAATGTTTTCTGTAAACTTGAATGTAATTGAAGTTAATTTATGGAGCAAAACACTGGCAGGAATTATGTGCAATTAAAATTTGTGATTTGACATGATTTTTGAGATGTGAGCATGTTCCAACTAATTAATGTATTACAAGATTGGAAAAACTCAGTGATGAGAATTCATTACTGCTCTGCCAAGAAAGGGACATGATTTGTTTCAAGAATCAGTTTCTATTCAATGTCATTTTCACATTCTGCTCGTGATATTTAGGTTGCAAACACCACAGACAAATGCCTGCTAGAAGAAAAGCCTTTTCACTGGAATACAAAAAATTCGCTGGAGCCTTTCTCTTTAATAATGAGTTATTTTCTTGCGATGTTTTTCCTGACATCAAAAATGTGGGCCAGAAATAAGCTGCAAAACTTGCACCTGCAGACCGAATTTTCTTGAACAGATCCTCCACGGGATCCGAGGAAATCAAACCACAGAAGGCGTGGTGGGCAGGCGGCGGCTCACGTGGTCCCCCAGGCTCCAGCTTGGATTTTTGACAGACCAGAACCAGCAGGACTCGTTTAGCGCTTGTTCCACTGCTGGTCACGCTGCGGTGAGAGATGAAGTATTAACTGGCCAGGGGCCTGGAAATGGGAGCTCTGGAGTAGAGCAAGGCCGTTTAATTTTTGCCATAAAATATCAGGATGCATTTACCAAACCGTTTCAACTGGCAAAAAACAAATACATTTTGGACTAGACTTGCATTTTTGCCTGTGGTAGGGGCCTGGCATTCATCTGGCAGGCTTATTGCCTGCTCCTCGCTACAGCCCAGCTTTTGGTGGCCTCACGTTTTGCACGTAAGGGCACTGGTCACCTAAAACCAAAGGCGAGAGGTCGGACATTACAGTGGCTTGAGCTTCTGCCCTTTGAAGCTGTGGTTTCATGCACCTGGCGAGCTGCTTGAACGGCTTAGTGCTGCCAGAAGTGTCACCCTCTTTTTCCCCAGCTATGGGGTCCTGCATGGCCTGGGGCTCCCTGTGAGCCAGTTCAGCTCACTCACCCCGCAGAAAATATCTGCTTTCTTCTCCTTGCTGGGCTGGCTCTCTGAGTGGAGGCAACCAGGCTGACTGGAGCGTTTGGTGGGAAGGAGGTGAAAAGGAGGAGAGGGAGTGAGACCTCTCTTCTTTAAGGTGAACTATTACGTTAGTTCTCTCCTTCTGAGGAGCTTCACCGTACAGCAAGCATCCTGCTAAGCTCACTCCTCATGTGTAACCATGTCCCACATAGAGCAGTTATGAGCTTCTTGCAGCACTTTTAAGTGTCTAACTTAAAAAAAAACCCTGATCCAGATGCACTTGGCTGTGCATAGTGAGCATGAGTGTCTCCGCATGGGGTGAAGATAGGCATCTTGTGGCACAGGAGTGTCCTAAGGTCAGCTAGAAGCCCAGGCACGTGTCTGACTATACAACTTGTTCTAACGACTGATTTTTTTCTTTCCATTGACTGTTTGCTATAAGGTGCATAAACAGCGCTGGAAGGATGGACTGGGACCAAAAGGCTTCTGAGCTCAAAAGTGTCTCCCCTTGCCAACTCTCCTTCCAGCCCACTCTATGCAGGATCATTGGTCACTTGCAGAGAAAAATGTTGACTCTGATAACATCAGGGTGCAGAATGATTAGACCAAGCTGTGTTTCAGTTTGCCTTTTGTTACTGTCCTCTGAGGCTTGGCCTTTTTCTTGTTTAAATTTGTTTGTTTATTCCTTTTGGAGAAATCAGCTGAACTGTGTTAGCAACTAGCCCAAAGGGGAGAGAGGCTAATTACCATAATTATTATTGGAGGGCCAAGCTGGAAGATGTACAACCTGAGGCCACTTCAGGAGAAATAGCTAGAGAAACTGGATTCTCGGGAGTTTGATGAATCGTGTGTTTGAAAAGTTTCTAGGTTCTGGGTAGAATTAGGCACATCAGTGAATAAATAGTGTTTCTGTATATTTTTGTATGTGGTCTTATTTTAAATTTATTTTATTTTTTTTTACTGATTTGGGAGTGAAGGATGACTGTTCTCTGTCTAGAGAAGTGGAGAGGAAATAAGACATTCCCTTGGCACATGGGAGTTGTTTCAACCTTTTGAAGCTGTGAGAAGTGGCACCTTCCAAGCACCCTGACTGTAGTAACCACTGAGTTTTACAAGGAGGCAGCACTGGCAAATACATCACTACATATTGAGCAGTCATGACCATTTAGAAAGGATCTTTGCCCTCTTGTCATGTGTTAAATGTTTTCTGAGAACATGTAGCTGATCTGGCCACTTAGGCTGCACATAAATGTGTTTTTGAAACATGCTGAACCAGTCTCTGGGGTCTGGGCTGCTTGAGCATCCCATTGATGCCTCTTTGGCATGTATTGTCTCGCATGCAGAGCTCTTGCCAGGTCCTCCCTGTGTGGAAATTAGACTGTGTGGTGGGTACACACCACAGGCTTACTCTGATAAGAAGATACAGTATTGCCAGGGCATTTCCCTTGACCTGAGAAGTGTTTATAGGGTACTGCCCTGCAAGGAAGTTGCACAAACCTACAGTCGTTGATTATGTTCCTTTACTTTGTGATTCCCACTGGAGTAGGCAAGGGCAATTTTGGGTATCCACAGAAGCAGAATTATTGGCACCTCAGGAACTTCCAGACACAACAGATGGACCCTAAATAAAGAGTTAGGTGGCCACTGAGCAGGTTTTTTATTTAATGTAAATCCCAGTTTTGCAGTTAGGCCCCTAAAGTTTGTCCAAGCCTTTGAGGGAGAAAATGCATTTAATAGTATAAATCTGCAGTAGCATTTTGATTGCTAACGGACTCGGGCATCAGTGCCAGGGGAATTTGTGTCTATTCAAGGAGATGGTGTTCGGCAGCTGAATCAGAAATGTATTGTGGTAACAGGAGAGTTTTGCATGAAGACAGAGAAATGACTCCTGGAG